AGGGGAGTCGCATCTGATGAGTTTTTCCCATGGAAAGACAACGTCTACTTCTTGCCGCGCGGAGAAGTTTTTTGTCCAGGAATGCCACCAAAGGGGAAAAGCCAAATATCGGAGGAAGAAGGCACTCAACGAGCTGCACAAGGCAGCGCCGGCAACGGCACCGAGCGGCTTAGCCGTTTCGGTGAGTGGCTCGACCTCGGGTGACAGCCGTCCCTGTTCGCGTCGCACCATCGGCTGGCGCCGCCGCTTCCAGCGGAGGTTTCGTGCCCGGCGGCTCAGCCGCTACGGGCTCTGGCTCTAGTGCGCGGACGGCTCAGTCGCCCCGCGGTCCTCCTTTGGCGCCGCCCTCTGATATTAAAGAAGTAGAAACGCCTGGAGAGGCGGCAGAGAGATACCTCCGTGGTAATTGCCCGGAGGGAGGCGCAACCAAGCTCAGTGGCAGACACAAATTCCCGAAGCGGCCGAAAGAAGGCAGCCCTGGAGAAAGGAGCCCTTTTGGCCACATTGTTTGTCGCATCAGCAGACAACGAGGTTGCCTTTCCAAAGCGCAGCGGGGGCAGACATCGTTTATCATGATTTTCTTTGTCCATTCGCGATCGCTGGCGGAGGCCTCCGTCGAGGCATGATGCCAGGGAACGCCTGCCCGGGCGAGGAAGGCCGCGCTGCAGAGGTAGCGCAAGGGAAGAACCCGGCTAGGAGCTATGAACAAAATATGGTTCAGAAAGCCGCGAACGGGGAAGCGTGGCTTGCTTTCCAGCTGCTACAGAAGCGACGAAAACCCCACCTGAAACCGAACTACATGGTTCCGAATTGGGCACGTTTCTTCAGGGTCAAAGCCGACAGGTCAAGAGCAGACCCAACAGCCACAGTTGCTGATCGTCTTGAATTGGGCTAAGCTGTCGGTGAAGACCCATAGGGTGGGTGTCGCCCATTGTGTTGAACTTTCGTTGCCTTTCTTCGTGACGGGTGAAAAGATTGCGGAGGTCTTAGACCCATCCGCAGGCTGGACAAAGCAGTCCCGCGGTACGTCTGTGACTGCCCTTCGCGCAATATTGGAGGGTCATCAGTTGCTTCCTTCTGATCCCAGATACGGAGGACATGTCAAAGCGCACGCGGTTGGGGTGTATTCTTTTCCATGTGTTGATAATCCCAATACGCGCGCCACGTACTCCGTTGCTGAGGGGACCTTTGGAGACGGTATATGGGTAACTGCCGAGATTGTTATCTTCACTAGAAAACCAAAAGTCATCGAAGGACAGCCGCCGCAGTATGTGAGCGACCCAACGGGAGACGTCTTGCATGAGCTGCGACTGTACCCCTGGGCTCCAGCAGCACTTCGTGTTACGGGCGCGCATGTGCATTTGCAGAACGTTGCCAGACAGAAGGGTTGGAATCTGGAGCAGGACTTCGAGGTCGAAAGATACCGAGACGACGATCGGACGAAGGCCGCGGACAAAGTCCGGGAGGCGCAGATGGCCTGGGTTCCAAACTTAGAACCGACTGCCTGGCAAAAGGGACAAAGTCCTTACTGTGATGACGACACTATTGATGATATCTGGCCTTGGCTCCAACAGAAGGGGGTCGGGCTAACCAAGATTCATCCATTACACAGGAATGAGGCCTCAAAGGAATCCGTGGAGCTAGTCGAACAAAATAAAGAAGAAAAAGAGAAGTCGAAGAAAACGGCGGAAGCCAAACAGGAGGAGCCGGCGGCTAAGCCGTCCGGCGCCCAATTTTCGATTGAGACCGGGAACTTCCCGAACCTCGGCCAGGCGTCTGCGAGCAATGAGAGAGCATTTAAGCCGCCGCCCCCGCGGGCCGAGGCTTGGCCCTCTACTCTGAAGGCCGACGCGCCTACGAAAACGCCCGCGCCCCCTCCTCCTCCTAAGGAGGGGTCGCCCGATGAAGGGCCGAGAGAGACTGTTACTAAGAAGGCTCCACCGGCGATTCAAGTGCCGACGCCGCCGCCGGCCAAGAAGCCGAGCGTCGCATTGCTGGGGAATGTGCAACAGGCGAAGGGGGTGATGCCCGAGGAAGCTCCGCCTCCGCCACAATTCGGACCAGAAGCGTATGTGATGAATCCCCCGCCAGCGAAGATGCCACGTGTTGAAGAAAACCCTGTGGCATCTCCATCGATGCAGCCACCGGCAAAGCCGGGAGGCATAGACTTAGATTACATGTGAATGATCACTACAATCTTCCCAACAATCGTCCCGAATGGATCAAAGCGCGCGGGGCAAGACAACAGAGAGCTTCTGCGATCGTGATGAAGAGTTCATCAGCAGTAACCAACAGCAGGAGCGAAAGTGGGCGAATGGGGGATTTGTTCGCATGGCTGCAACAGGCCGGATCTTCGGGAACAGCCAGCCAAGCAATTTGCCTGCTTGGGTTCCAACGGACGCCGCGGCTCAGCCGCCGGCGCGTCATGGCCCTTTCTTCCAGTATTCGAAGCCCGTGGTCCGAAGGTTCATTGAATGGCTTGCGTTCTCAGCCTCGAGAGCGAGAAGGCAGGTTCTTGTGATCCAGGTCTGGTGGCCATTGCTATGGAAGACAAATTTCGACCAGTACGTTCGCCCAATATCTTGCCCGGCTCTGGCAGCTTTCGACTGGCCAGAATATCAGGACGACATAGTCGAACTTGTGCTGGGTTGGGGGAGATGGCATACCCAGATGACCGGACAAAGTGTCTTTGTCCCGACGATTCAGACAATTGATGACGCGGTAACCGTGGGGGCACCGTGGCTGCCGATACAGCAAGAAGACGCCGCGGACGACGCAGGGCAGAACCCTCGCGCAGGGCAAAACCCTCGCGGAAACATACCAGATGCCTGGGAGAACAGTCTCGAGGCGAGGCCAACTCGCAGTTCTCAGTCCGTCGCCAGACGGATTAATGAGTGTCGCGATCATCGCCTCATAGTACCATTGTTGCAACCCGCCACCGGCGCAGCCGCGATGGCAGGCGCGCAGTCACAGGTCGGACTTGACTTCTCGGCAATCAGCGGGCCTAAGGCCGCGCTGGTAACCAGAGGGACGATCAACTTTGATCAGCCCGACGGTTATACATATAACCATTGCGAGGATAGCTCGATAAATATATCATTACACGGGTTAGAGGTTAGGGCGATCGCAGCACAATCTGTCATCGAATACACAGGCATTCGCTCAAACTCGCAACTGACAGGGGACATGGAACACGAGGTTCCACCGATTGTGACGAACATAGTTGAAGGGAACTGGATGGCCCCTGTACAACAAATGCAACTTGGTCTTCGCCTCATGAATACTTGCTATCGTTCGCGAGACCATGAGCTCCTTCATTTCAGATGGGCATTTTGTCGGTTACCCGGGGCGAATAATTCGTCCCGATAGAGAGAACGCAGACCCAATTTACTTGAAGCGACGGAGAGATGAATATGCTCTTGACTGTCGCATTCGCGCCGCCGTCCAGACGGGCGACATCATAGAAGAGTGGGCCCGTAACTTGGGTAGGCAGGTGCAAACCGACGTTCGTCGTGAGGGCGCATTCTTGCAAGAGGCCGTTTCTTGGCTTCAGAACAGATACGTATATTCTGGGGCAGAGCTCCAGGATGAGGACGCAGGGCCATTCCGCACTGCATGCGGAAGATTCGGCATCCCAGTAGCTACAGCTGCTAGGAGTTTGTTGAAGTTCATGCGAGATCGAGAGCAGAACGTTCGTGAAAACAGAAATGCCAATCCGCACCATGGCAGCGAAGCTGACCCCATGGGGCCAATAAGAGCACAGGATGCGGTGAAAGCCAGGCCGCAGCCACCACCTCCACCGCGCAGACCCAACGTGTCAGACGCTCGGGCTGCCGATGAAGTTACCGAATCCCCACGCTCTGTCGCCGGCACAGCTGTGACGACAAAAGAGGAATACTCATGGTATTCTGACGCATGGGATTGGTCGAGGCCCCAGCGCGCGCGCGATGGAGCCATGGACGTCGGCCGCGGCGCTGCCGGCTACGACCCGCTCCCGTCCTACCCGCACTGCGTGAATAATGTGCAGGTCGGGTACTGCGTCCACCGGGGCCGGATCACGTGGTTGTCCGACGAGGTCTGGTGGGCGCAGGTTTGGCATTGTCTACGTTTGAGCGCGACGTTCACTTCCCGCCGAAGGGGAAGGCGTCCAAGAACAAAGAGAATAACTACAGTGCAGCATAAGGACGGTCCCGCTCGCCTCGTGGCGGAGACGGACAGACTGGAGGCTCGGCACCGTCGAACCCGACGCCTCCGGCGCCACCGACGGGAGAGGAGAACCCGTGGGGGGAGCTGGGCTGAAATCCGCCCGCGTGACTTAGTCGCGGCAGGCGCATGCGCGAGAGTTCTCGTCCGCACGATGAAGTCGTGTCGGACGGGTAAGCGACTCTACTGGTCGGCTAAGCCGAACCAGCGGAGATAATTTATTTATATGATTGTGGAAGTCGTCGGGCCTCTTCGGCCCTTAGCCCTCTGGTGGCCACCGTTGAGCGGTAACATGTTTTGCGCTTCGCTCCGGTGGTTGCCCATATATAGGCCAGGGGTGCTGTGGCCGGATGGGCTCTACGAGGCCCGCCGCGGGGGGAGTAAATAAGTTCCTCTCCGCCTCATATTAAGATCGCTTGTTGTAACACTTGCATGCTGTGCACTGTATGATTATAATTTATTCTGGATTCTGCAGCTGTTTGTTTGCTTGCAGGAGATAAAAGGTGCGAGCTGGCCCGCTCGCGTGCGCCGCGGGGTCGTCCCCGCGTCGTCGTCGTGTCGTTGGCCGGCCGGCCACCTCACTTACCATTCCTGATATAGTAAACTTGCTTACCGTTTACTTGTCCTATCGATGTCTCATCCCGTACCATCTCTCCCTGAGCAGAGTGAACATGAGATCTTAATTGCTTTGTCATATTACCCCGATTCTCAGAGGAAAGACTCCTCGCCCTCCCCCCCTGGGGGGCACCTCCTCCTCGAGGGGGCGCCGCTCGCGCGAAGAGTGTGGCCCGCGGCAGGTGGCTGGCCAGGTCTGCACCGACTTCGCCTCCCTGGAGTCGTGGCGGGCGGGGTCAACCGGGCCGCCTAGGAGGAGGAGGGGGAGGAGGAGGAGGAGGGGGAGGAGGAGGAGGAGGAGGAGGAGGAGGAGGAGGAGGAGGAGGAGGAGGAGGAAGAGGAAGAGGAAAAGGAAGAAAAAAAAGAAGAATAATAATACTAAGAAGAAGAAGAATAATAATAATAATAATAAGAAGAAGAGGAGGAGGAGGAGGAGGAGGAGGAGGAGGAGGAGGAGGAGGAGGAGGAGGAGGAGGCAGCAGGAACTTGGCTCGTGGTGCTGCCCAAGCCAGCCCTGGCCCAACCCACACATGCTCGCGTCTTGACCAGATCAGCGCAGAAGATTTTTGGCAGGTTTTGGGCCTCTGGGTGCCTTCGCAGGGGCGCAGAACCAACAGAAAACGACCTGGTAACAAAACGCGGCCTCGGGGAAAGGGTCGGGACGTCTGGGGGCCTCTTCTTGAGCAAATCAAGACAACGGATGTTTGGGAAGGCGTCCCGAGGATTTTCCGCGATGTCTAGGCGGCCTCCAGGGCACCCCTCGCGAGGCCCGCGCCGCTCGACACGCTTGGGACAACTTGAGCCAGGACTATTTTCAGTAGCTGCTCGGCCAGCGGAGTCGAGGGTCTCCTCCCCTCCATCCCCCTCCTCTCTTTCTTCCTCCTCTCGCTCCCTCCCTCCCCCCTCTCTGTCTTTCTGCCTGTCTGTCTGTCTGTCTGTCTGTCTGCCTGTGGGTCTGTATATCTGTCAGCCAGTCAGTCAGCCAGTCAGTTTTGCGCGAGTTTGCTTGCCTCCTTGCCACCCTTCGAACACACTTCATGCGCAGAGCTCGCCTGTCTGTCTGTCTGTCTGTCTGTCTGTCTGTCTGTCTGTCTGTCTGTCTGTCTGTCTCTTTCAATATTCGTCCATCTCTCTTTTGTTTTTTGGCTCTCTTTCTCTCTCCGTGTGTTTTCTCTTTTATACTCATGTATATGTCTCTCTCTCTCTCTCTCCCTTGCTCCCAGTCCGTCTCTTTCTACCTCTCTCCCTCTCTCTCTTATCATTTCTTTATTTCTCTCTCACTCCCTCCCTCGCGCAGTACCTTGCGGTACACACGAGGTTTGAGTACCCGGTTTTCACTTCAGACGGCTGCCTGGCCGAGACAGCGATTCCCCGGGCACGGCACGCTCAGGCCGACCTTGATCGTCAGCGATTATTCGATTTAGTTGTTAGGTTGTTGGTTTGCACGGCAGTTGCCATTCGATTTTTTTTCCAGGACGCCACCATTTTTCGCAGCTTCGATGCCGATGCACTCCGAGTCCGCTTTTCGGTGCAGGGTGCATATGTAAGGCGCCGCGTTTCCCATCGAGGCAGATGCTGTTATCCACCGTTTCTCGGATAGTACCAGCATCTGCCTCGATCGTCGAGCAAACTCTGCGTTCAGATTTCGTCGGCGGCGGGAGGGACATACTGGTGGGCACGCGCGGCAAGGGTGACTACGAACACTAGCTATCTCCTACAATGTGAAAGCACGCTCAGATGTGTATGTGGAATTTAACAAACACATTTCAGCCAATATCAATAGACAGTGCTGCCCGAAATCTCGTGCACGAGTCGCCACGACTCGTTCAGAACTTAAGGTCGAATGCGTCGTGTGTCTCGAGCAGTTTGAAACCGCAGACGAGCATTCCAAGCGTGCAAGGGATCACATGCGTACCATGATGGAGGCGGCCTGAGCAGGACCAGCTCAGCGCTGGGTGAAGGAGATGATTCTCTCGCCGACTCTGTTCAATCCAGCCGAGAAGCCCAAGGTTCGCATTGTTTTCAGCTGCCGAGGAGAATTCGTTTTTCCTCGAGCGAAAGTGGACCACGACAGGCTGATGAAGGCTTTGGAGAAGTGTCCACTGCCTCAGTGCACCCCAGTGGAGACGCACACAGGGCACCTGCTGCTGCCAGGAGTACCACCACCATAAGTTGGAGGGGGGAAGGAGGAGGAGGACGAATAGGAGGAGGAGGAGGAGGAGGAGGAGGAGGAGGAGGAGGACCCCCTCCCCCTCCAACTTATGGTGGTGGTGGTGGTGGTGGTGAAAAACAGGCCCGTCAATTACGCGTCCACGTCGGGATTCTGCTTGCAGAGGGGCGCCGCTCGATGGGCGGCCAGGTCATTGCGGGGAGGGCACCGCGGGGCAGCATGGTGCGGCAGCTTGGCCCTTGCGGCGGGCGCAGTAAGCTATAGGCGGCGTATCACCAACGACTGATGAGCCTGTTTCCCACCACCACCATCAGTTGCAGGGGGGAAGGAGGAGGAGAAGGATGAGGAGGAGGAGGATGAGGACGAAGAGGAGGAGGAGGAGGAAGAGGAGGAGGAGGAGGAGGAGGAGGAAGACCCCCTCCCCCTCCCCCTCCAACTTACAGTGGTGGTGGTGGTGGTGGAAAACACGCCCATCAAACGACGTGGTCACGAATGGCGATGGCGATGCTGCGTATTGCACGTCCCAGAGGACTGGGGGATGCCCTCTTCGTCCGCGAGGTCTGGCCGCATTCGAAAGACATCACGCGCGCTGGTGACCTCGCGCGTGTCAGTGCCAGGTCAGCGCCCAGTCCGAGCTCGAGCGTCGGGATGTCGACTGGCCGTGGGGCCTCCCGGCGGGCCGCGCCTCCGCCCTGGCGCCTCAGTGAGCGCGGGCAGCCTTGGCTGGCCCACAGGCGGGCTTAACGAGGGGGGATCGAGGCACGGACCCCCTCCCCCCTGTGCAAGGAAATCCACGGTTTGTGGTGTGTGTGTGGGGAGTGGTGCAGGTTTTTTGTTCTCGCCGTCTTCTTTCTGAGGGTGAGAGAGAGAGAGAGAGAAGGAACGAGAAAGAGAGAGGGAGAGTGAAGAGAGAGACAGAGAGAGCGAGAAAGAAAGAGAGAAAGGGAGAGACATCGAACAAGAGAGAAACACCTCTCTTTGTACATAGGCGGGGAGAGAGAGAGAGAGAGAGAGAGAGATATCCCTCTCTCTATATCTCTATATATATATATATATATATATATATATATATATATATATATATATATGTTCAGAGTGTGTGTTTATGAGAGAGAGAGAGAGAGAGAGAGAAAAAAAAAAAGGCGCTGCGCTTGACGAAGACGGGCAACTCGGCCTACGCGGGGGCTGAGGCCCATGAGCGGTTCCTTGGTTCCTCCAGTTCGAAGAGGGCGACGCGCCCTTCCCAGACGAACGTATGCGCATCAGCTGCGCGTATGCGCCCTGGGCGCGCGGTGCCACCACCGCAAACAGGACGGCTCCTTGTGCGGGAAGCTTCTGGGCACCGAGGGCTGGTGCGGCAAGAAATGCGGTTGCGGGTGCAGTAGGGGTTGCAGACGCACCCCCCCGCGGGGCTGGAGTGCGCCGTGGCATTAAGCTCGGACTGGGCACTGGGCCACCTCTGAGCATAGCGTTTTTGCTTGGGACCACCCGCACCTCGACGCGGGCGCGTTGGGGGAGGCCGCACCCTGGACGTGGCCACGCGCGATCCCGCTACCAACGCCCTCATCTATGCGGACTGGTTTGCCACTTGCGAACGCAGCGGCGATAACGCTCGCAGGCAGGCCAGGGCATGCGCGGGTGGGGTGGCAGTTGCCAGAGCGGTCGACAGAAAGCGGGCGCGCTGTTCTCCGTCTGGAGGGGGGGCCGTTCCCGACCGTCTTGGGGTTCGGGGGCCGGCTCGCAGACGAACTGGTCGCCTTCGTGTTTTCCTGCGGCAGGGACTTGCCGGAGGCCGAACGGTCGGGTGACTTCCGCCACTTTGCGGTAGGTTCGGCGCTGTGTGGCATTCGGCAGCGCCGAGACGCTCCTCGGTGCAGGTTGAGGGGCCGCGCGGGCGCCCTTGGCGACGACGCGGGGGGGATAGGGCGTAGAGGGCGGGCTTCGGCTTCGGCCTTGCGGGCTGCCGCAGGGCTCGCCGCCCCCCAAGGGGCAGTGCGGCAGCCTTTTTTTCCCGTGGCCGGGGGTGGGCGAGCTCAGACTCGGCGGGGCGGCGCGCCCGCGAGGGCCCCAGCCCCCAGAGCGGCGGCGCGGTCAGTCGCCCCGACCCGCCTCCGATGCTGCGCCGCCTTCGCCTTGGCGTCTGCCGCTGCGGCCGCCGCCGCCGCCGCGACGACCGCCGCGGCCGTTGCCTCCGCGAGCGCTCCCGCGACTCTCTCTTGCCCCCCCTGCCCTTGCGTGCGGTCCGCTTTGTTCTCCCTCTCGTGCTCTTCCTCGGCGTTGCCGGCGCGCTGTCTGGCCCGGGGCCGCGGTCGCGTCGCGAGCTAGTGCGTGCCCCCCCCCAGCGAGAGAGAGAGAGGGAGAGACAGAGAGAAATCGAGAGAGAGAGAGAAGGAGAGCAATAACAGAGATAGAGACGGAGAGAGAAACATTGGAGGTGAGGGGGTGATATCGAAGTGGAACGGAGAGCCCCCTACCGGGAAATCGGTTTCGGTTTCGTGTTCGTGCGTGCCGTGCGTGCGGGCGAGGCGAAGCTGCGTTGGCGGGCGAGGCGAAGATCTCCTCCGGCTGAGGCGCGGCCGGACCAAACGATTCCTTTCCGGGGGCCGGTGGCCCGCGGTGTCCCGCCGATGTCCCGCCTCCGGCTGAGGCGCGGCCGGACCAAATGATTCCTTTCCAGGGGCCGGTGGCCCGCGGTGTCCCGCCGGAGTCCCGCCGGTGTCCCGTCGGTGTCCCGATGAAGATGATGATGATGATGATGATGATGATGATGATGATGATGATGATGATGATGATGATGATGATGATGATGCCGATGATGATGATGATGATGATGATGATGATGTTGATGATGATGATGATGATGATGATGATGATTCTGATGATGATGATGATGATGATGATGATGATGATGATGATGATGATGATGATTATGATGATGATGATGATTATGATGATGATGATGATGATGATGATGATGATGATGATGATGATGATGATGATGATGCTGCTGCTGATGATGATGATGATGATAATGATGATGATGATGATGATGATGA